CTGTGTTCTTCTTTTTCCCTCCTCCCTCACTATCCCTCTCTCCCAACATCCTTGCTTGCTGCCTTTTTCCCTCCTGCCCTCTCCCAATTTCCTGCTCCATCCGCCCGCGGGTCTTCCCCGGCCGCGCAGGCGTTCGAGCTGGCCACAGGGGACTATCTCTTCGAGCCGCACTCTGGAGAGGACTACTCCCGCGACGAGGGTAAGAGCGCCCCCTATCGCCGAGTCGAAGAGCAGCAGAGAGAGTGTTTGCTGCCATCCTATTCCATAGGATCATGTGTTTTATGTTTTATGAACAGTCTTTTAGGATGTGAGCCACCGATGTCCAGAGAGGAGTAAGCAGTCAGTTCTGTCCAGGCACTGCTCCCAGACTCGACTGCTGTGTCCCGGGACACTGCGTCAGCTTACTGCTAAAGTCTGGGATTTTAGTGCGGAACGCCCTTTCAGCTGATGGCACAGCCATGCTTTTTAACTGTATACAGTATTTTCATAACTGCATCAGAAGGTCTTCAGCTGGTGCATTCGCACACCTCCCCAAGTCTCCTCTGAGCTGGGAACCTTGCCTTTGCTCACTGATCAGACACCGTACACCGCCACCTCTCATCCTCTCCCATTCCAGCTCCAACAGCTGCATGGCATGACGGATGAGTCACAGAGCTGCAGTGCTTGCCAAAGCAAAATATTTCCCCAGTTAGACTTGCACATCGGTCAGTCGCCCTCCTTCTCCTCCGCTTGTCTTGTTACCCGTCTCCAGATCTCACACTCCCAGTGTTGCCCTCAGACTTTCCCATTTTTACCTCTCTCCTCCTCTCACCCCGTCTCCTCTCTTCCCCTCCCCCAGTCCTCCCCATCACATTCTCTCCCTCGCGCTCGCAGACAGCCAGGTTCCCAGAGTGCCCAGGGAGTCCTCTCACTCCTCTCCAGGGGTACGGCACAGAGCCCGGGCAGCCCCCCATTCCAGATACAGACCTCCTGTGGAAATCCGGTTCACAGTGTCGCAGAACTGATGACGGCTACTAGAAAAGCTGTTTGAGGTTTTCAAAACAGAACGTTCAGTCTAGTAACATTTCAAATGATCTTCAGCGAGACAGCACTGAAAACGTTTGCTCCCTTATTAGAAAACGCTAGCATGCAGTGCTGGTCTCCAGACAGCACCCCCTCTTCCTCTGTACCCCGTCTCTCACTCACCCCCTCTGGTGCCGGGTCACTAACGCTCCACTTTCTCCTTCTCTTCTTCCTCTCTGACTTTCCTCACTTCTTCTGCCTGTCTCCTATCTTTCTCCCTCCTCCTCCTCCTCCTCGCCCTCTCTCTCTCTCTCCTCTTCTTCTCTCTAGACCACATAGCCCACATCATTGAGCTGCTGGGCTGCATCCCGCGACACTTTGCCCTCTCTGGAAAGTATTCCCGGGAATTCTTCAACCGCAGAGGTAGAGCTGAAAATGTGCCCTGGACGCTGAGGGACAGACAGCCGGAAAACACTGGGACAGACTGACGGGGGGGGGGGAGATTGAAGGGGGAAACTTAAGGGCCATCGAGCAGCATGCCCCTTGAGAGTGTAGTTACCTTCCCACTGGGCGCCGTGCCCAAGATTGCAGACACTGTGGGCAGAAACACTGTGACACAGCAGGCCTGCTGTAGGTGGTAATATTGATTGGAGACATGCAGAAGTCATGAGATTAGCATGATCTAAGATTGTTTAATAAAAATTGCCCTGCTTATGTCGACAAGTCACTACCAATTAAATTGCCCAGTGCACCCTGTCCGGGGCAGTACGAGCCCTCCTGGTCAGTGCACACAGTGCTGCACAGCGCCAGCGAGTCAGTCTGTCCGCTGTGTCCCCTGGCTGCCTGCCCGCCAGCCGCGCGCCGCACTGACCCGTCTACCTGTTCTGTCTCGTACTGTGCTGTGCGCGCTTGTCGGGGGGGCGTGTCGGTCACTGCGCAGATCACATCGCCCTCATCATTGAGCTCCTGGGCAAGATGCCGCGCAAGCTGGCCACGGCGGGGAGGTACAGCCGGGACTTCTTCACCAAGAAAGGTAACGGCCCCCGCGGGGGTCTGAGCCGCGAGGGGCCCCAGGGGCGGCGGGTCCCCCCCACTGCCGAAGGGCACCCCTCGATCCCACTCTCTCCCCGCCCTGCTGTGCGGCGCCCCCTCCTCTCTCTCCGCACACCACAGCCCCGGGCCTGGCCGGCTGGCACTGCCGTGAGCAGGGCCTCGATCTGGCGGAGCCTAGTGCGCTCGCCAGTGACGCACACAGACGCACCAGGGAAGCACGGCTGTCTGTACGTTTGCTAAAGTAAGGCTCCGCGTCCTCGACCTCCAAACCAGGTCTCGTTCAAACCACAGTTCTATGTTTAGGTCCCAATTAAAATGAAACAGAGATGTTCCTTGTCTGAGACG